AATGAGACGATATGCGATAGAATGAATGTAAAACTAATGTTCTCCCATGTAAACTATCACATAATTCACAATAAAACATGTAAAAAAAAAAAAAAAAAAAACTATACACATATACAACCAAGCACATTCTTTTACACAGGCAGGTATCTCTAGGTTTCTCCTTCTATTTTTACTGCCAGACTGATGATCCTTGAGGAACGGGGTAAACAGTAAATACTTCTACTCTAGAATATCTGCTCTGCCTTTGGATGCTCATGACCACATTCCTCTGTGGTATGAATAGCATGTATTTTTCTAAGTCATGAGTAATTTTTGTTTTAAAAGCCTACCCTTGAAAATGAAGGCAGATCTGTGTATAATTTCTTTGTATAATTATTCCAGAAAGAAAAGAACAGTTTATTTTTCTTCCCTTTTTTGTACTTTTTGTTATTGTAAAACTATATATAACAAAACATTTATCATTTTAACATTTTACATGTGCAATTCAGTGTGATTAATTACATTCATCATGTAGTACAACCATCACCACTATCTGCTTCCAGATCTTTCCATCACCCTTAGCAGAAACTAAGTGTCCACTAAACAAAGGAATGCTTCCTTTTAAAATACTTTGTCAATTCTGTAATCCCCATAAAACTGTGATGTTTATTAAATGCTAACACAGAATCCTCCTTGTTGTACATTCACTGGTACCACAGTTAATGCGAACAGTCACTTTATGGAAATACATTGTGCAACTGGAGAGATCAATGCCTTTGGACAAACAATACCAGTTGCCATGGAATTAATTCTATCTCATGGCACCCATGTATATCCGAACTGTGCTCCATAGGATTTTCATTGGTTTGTTTTTCTGAAGTAGATCACCAGGCCTTTCTTCTAAGGGACATATAATAGATCTGCTAACCACAAGGTCAGTCGTTCAAATCCACCAAGCACTCCTCAGAAACTCTATACAAGTTTGCTATAAGCCATAACCAACTTCAGGCACATATCAATAACAACAACGTATAATTTGGAGTCCTGGATGATGCAACAGTTAGCAGGTCAGTTGCTGACCAAAAGAAATAAAGGTGTGCATCCACCTAAAGGCACCTCAGAACAAAGGCCTGGCAAACTACTTCCAAGAAATTAGCCATTGAAAAACCTATGGAGCATAGTTCTACTCTGGTACACATGGAGTCAACATGAGTCAGAATGAACTCAATAGCATATCTAACTTTCAAATGATCTCACTTCACTTTCCTCCTCTCCATACTAGGTAAACTCCACCTACATCATAAGGATGTTTTTAAGTTTATCTTAATTGAGATTATACATGAAAGGCATTTCACATATATTATGCACTTGCATATAAAACTTCTGTTTTCTCCCTTCACCTCCCTCCCTGACTCTACACCTTGCTGTGCTATGTTACACCAAAATACCTTACACTGGGAGCTACTGAGTACAACATGATCTATTAAGGGTGATTTTCTCAGAGGTACCCCTGGTGAGTAATATTGGAATACCAGATGAATAAATGAAGAATCTCATGCATGGGACACAACAATAATCCAAACAAACTGATCTCGGTATTGTTAATATCCACCACATTGAAAATGTTTACAAATTATCAAGTTGAAGAGTTAATTATCCAGTTAGAGGAAATACTTATTTTTCTCTACAATTCAGAACAAGATTTGTTTGAAACACTATTTATGTGTAATAGCAGTGACATTCATTATACTCTATAGAATTATAAAATTTGAAAAGACTCTGGATAAAAGCAGTTGCAGGCAAGAATCTGTTAGCAGAGTTGTTCACTAAATAATCTGTCATTACAATAATGTTGTTGCTATTGTTGTCAAGTGCTGTTGAGTCCTTTCTAACTCATAGCGACCCTTTATAGGGTTTCTGAGGAGCATCTGGTGGGTTTGTAGTGCTGACCTTGTGGTTCACAGACCAGTGCTGATCCTACAGCACCCCACCAGGAGTCCATTACAATAGTTGTTATTTTTAAGTGTCATCGAGTCGATTCCAACCTATAGTGACCCTGTGTAGGATTTCCAAGGAGTAGCTGGTGAGCTTGAACTGCCGACCTTGCAGTTCAAATGGCTTTACAGTCTGGTGCATTAACCCACAGTGCCAGACCAGGTTAAATTCATCAAATTTATCAGTCAAAAAGAGTGCTTTTTCTAAACATTTTCTTAGTGCTTTTGAAAACATTATAAACTATGAAATACTATGAAACTCATAATAAATTTTAATACTCAGTAACAGCATTTCAATGGAAACTTTTTAAATGTTATAGTTCAAAGTATATTCCAGATATTCCAAACAACAGAGAAACAAACAGCATTTAATGAACACTTTCTATGTGCCAAGCACTGTGATAATTATTTCATATAATGAGTTTATTAAATTCTCACAATAACTCCAGAAGGTATGCAGTATTCTCATCATTTTTACAAATGTAGCAACTGAGGCTCAGAGTTACTTACCTAGTAATCCATAGAGCTTGAATTTATCTGCATGGCCAATTAAACACTTACCTTTCCCTACATCCAATGACAATTCATAAAAACACACATACGTGACTTGTTTTTTTAATTGCATATCATTATATACTTACATATCTATTGAACATGTTGTCTGTTTTCCCAATAGTGACATAATTAAGCAGGATTTTTGTCACTGTATCAATGCCGTCAAAAATCAGATTTACTTTTTGCCACTTGCTAAAAAAAAAAAGAAAATATTTTTAAAACAAGATGTATATAACATTCACATAGGAAGGACTTATTTTATTAGTTAAGAACTAAGGGAATAAATATTTCCCAGAAAATATACTTTAGTAAAAATTCTTCATGAAATTTTCAAAAGTATATTGTTTAACATACTTTTTGTGTTCTTTGAGTGGTCCAACTTATCTCTCTTCATAATAAACCAATCTTTATAAAACCAGAAGCACAAAATTCCCTAATTTCTAGTGACTTCACAAAGTTTTCATGAGAACCAAGTAAAAGAAAAGCATTTTCACAAAATATTAAAGTTACTGACATATATGAGAGAACACATTAACCAATAACAAGTATTCTGAGAAAATATTATGTGCCCGGCACTCTGCCAAGTCTTATGAAGAACTAAAATAAAATAGTCTCTGTACTTAAGGAGTCAGCAATCTGGTTGACTTTGAAGTCTAAAACAGAAAACAAGCAGAAAACTCTCTATGTGCTCTATTATGTAATCTGATCCTGTTGGACAGGATATAAGTACTATCAGAGTCAATGTCATAAGAAAAGACTTTAAGAAAGAAACAGAAACTTAAAGATGGGTAAAATAGTTACTGTATCTGTTACAATTGGGTATTATTCTACAATAAAAAAGAATGAAGTAGTGATACATGCTGCAACATGGATGAACCTTGCAACATCACTATGCTTACTAAAAGATGCCAGTCATGTAGGATAATATATTGTATGATTTCATTATAAGGAAAGTCCAATAGAAGTCAATCCATGAAGACAGAATGTAGATTTGTGATTGTCTAGGGCTGAATTGTGAGCACAAGGATGGGGAGAAGAATGACTACTAATAAATATAGATTTCTTTTTGAAATGATGAAAAATTATCTAAAATTGTAGGGTGACTGTACAACTGGGTGAATATATCAAAACCATTGAAATGAACACCTTAAATGGATAAACAACTAGGTATATGCGTTATATCTCAATAAAGGTGCTTTAAAAAAAAAAAAAAAAAAAGATAAGTATAAATGCCTAGGTAGAGGGTTGTTGTTAAGTGCCGTTGAGTTGGTTCCAACCCATAATGAACCAGTATAGGGTTTTCTAGGAGCAGCTAGCGAGCTTGAACCGTCAACCTTGAGGTTCAAGCGGACTTTGCAGCCCAGCACCTTAACCCACAGTGTCACAATAGAACTATTTAAAATACTCTGAAGCACAGTAACTCCATGATATTAAGCCCAAATATTCTGGCTTCATTTTTCCTTTATGAGACTAGTAAATAGTTGTAGTCTTGGTGTGGTGTTGAAGGATAAGCATTGGACTGCTAACTGCAAGGTCAGCAGTTCAAATCCACCAGCTGTTCCTTGGAAAGCCCGCACAGGGTTACAACAAAGTGGTGGTATGTCTGGGTTACAGTCTACCTCACCTGGAAATAACTGCTTATAATAACATAGAGAGTAACTGTAAACAATGCCCATGCTTTTCCTTATGGCCTGACAAATAAGTTCAAAGACATAGTCTTAATCTCTGGTTAGCACTATACAGAACAAATGACATTTACTTAGGATATAATACCTAACAATATTGTAATCTATACACTATTGATTCCTGAAGGAAGTCTGGTAGCATAATGGTTACAAGTCAGGCTACTAATTTCATGGTGAGTAGTTCGAAACTACCAGCCATTCCACGGGAGAAAGATGAGGCTTTCTGCTCCTACAAAGACTTATAGCCTTAGAAACCCTATACAAGGTCACTATGAATCGTATCCAACTTCACAACACACAATCACCACCACCACCACTGAGGACTGAGAAACAGAGGAGGAATTACAGACAAAAGAATGTGACAGTGGCTAAGAGATATCATTACCACTACTAGAAAAATAACTCATGACTAACTCATGACACCCAGCCACCTGAGAATAGCGTAGTGATTACAAATCAGGCTGCGAACCACAAGGTCAGCAGTTCGAAACTACCAGCTATTCCACGGGAGAAAGATGAGACATTCTGCTCCCATAAAGATTTACAGCCTCGGAAACCCTATACAGGGTCGCTATGAGTCGGAACCGACTCCACGACACATAACAACAATAACAACAAGTATTGCTAACACCTTCCTAATACACAAACCAAAACATGAATCTATGTTAATTTTTATAGTACAAGGCTTTAATCTGACTTGACTCTCTAAACAAAGCAAAACAAAAGATTATGGCTTAAATTAAAAAAAAAAAAAAAAAAAAAAACTCTTTAAATTCAATAAAATACACATACCTAAGATCAAAGGGTATTTGAAATTCCTTGCTATAGGTCCAGTTATCCAAAGAGATCCATCTGTAGTTAAGGTCATTAAATCTATAGTAAGGATCCTGTTGATACAAGGTACAAATGATGGTAGATGATTAAACATATAAATATATAAAAATAAGCATGAAATAAATTATTAGCAGTCACTTCTTGTTGCTGTTGTTAAATACCGTTGAGTCAGTTCCAACCCATAGTGACCCTGTATAGGGCTTCCAAGGAGTGGCTGGTGAGCTTGAACTGCCAACCTTGTGGTTCAAAGCAACTTTGAAGTCCAGCACATTTAACTCACAGCACCACACCAGGACTCCAACAATCACTTCTTCTTGTTGTTGTTAATTGCCTTCGAGTCAATTCCGACCCATAGCGACCCTGCACAGGGTTTCCAAGACTGTAAATCTTTACGGGAGCAGAAAGCCTCATCTTTGTCCTGCGAAACAGCTGGTAGTTTCGAACTGCTGACCTTGTGGTTCACAGCCCAATTCGTAACCACTACGCTACACTTAGCACCTACAAATTAATGAGCTTTTGGCCTAGGCATACAAAAGATTCATATCATTAGCACCAAAAAAATCTAAGAAAAAATAGCTGAAATGAAAGAGTATATGTAAATAGTATAGTTTCATTATCAAAGAGCATGTGTGGAGGTTAACATGGGTTTCCCTTGTTAAAATCCAACTCAGAGCCTCCACGATATTAGCAAAGATTGGAAATCGGAATTCCTGATGTGTACCTCTCACTTTTGCTTATATCAGCCACTACCTTAGCTTGCCTCCAGAAGGAATCTTCTTCTTTTTGCCCAAAGGTCAAAAATGTCCATTCCAGGTGGAATTCTAAGAAGATGGTAGCATAAACAAACCATCATTCCAACCCTCCCCAACAAATACTATAACAAGGAAATGCTATACATCTTTGAAAGATTCTGAATTGGGGACCAAAGGAAAGGGTTAAGTGCCATTGAGTCAGTTCTAACTCATAATGACCTTATGTAGGGTTTCCAAGAAACAGCTGGTGGGTTTGAACTGTCAACCTTGAGGTTAGCAGTCCAGTACTTATCCTACAGCATCACACCAGGACTCCTCCTACACATCTCATAGTCAGGCTGATTCAACTAGATGATTTAACTAGGATCTAGCGCTGCAAGATAATGCACTAGACCACAAAGTCTGTTTGAACTGCAATGTCGGTGGTTCAAACCCACCCATCACTCCTCGGAAACCCTATACAGGATCTCTATGGGTTGGAATCAATTCCACAGCACTGAACAGCAACAACACTGGCTTCAGTCAGCCAGACTCCATAGGTCATATGCTTATGAATGTGTAAACAGTCAAGTTGTCAAGAAGAAAAAAAGATGAAGATTTTAAAAGGGATTACGTGCTTATTTCAACTAACTGTGAATATTTAATGTTTCTCTTACCTAGTGTTGTAAAACAGACCTAAATTCATTATAGAAATGAACATTGAGTAAATAGATTATAGAAAACTAGGGTTTGCCTGGAAAAAAACACAGGCTGTTTTTTTCAATCAAGTTAACTCCTATGTAGAAAGTATTGGAGATGTAGATTGAAAATCCAAGCCCCATTCAAAACCTTTGAAGTCAGAAAATTTACATTTCAAAAATCATGCAGACTTATCCAGGAAGAACCTATGGGGGGGGAGACTGTTTGGCTTTTTTAATTTCAAGCAAGTGATTTATCTTTGAGTACATTAAGGTAGGAAAGTCAGTGCCCATCAGAACACCATTCCAGGAGCCAGAGAGCAGATGGCCTGGTATGCTTACTGTGGTAACCATCTGGGTCCACTCAATGAGTAGAAGTGGGAGAAGGGGGCACAACAATGAAGAGATCAACTAGGTTAGGACATGTTCCATTGAAACCAGTTTACCTAGCTCACAGAAACTAAAGGTGAGAGAGAGAAAGACTGACTGGTCTGAAGTACAGAGTTATATGCACTCCTGAATAGATGGATGGTGTCCACTGATCAAGTCCACGGGGGTTAAAGATGAGTGAGAAAGAGAAGGGGCTGGTTGGTCTGAAGTGCAAGGAAATGTGCTAGTACTCACTGAACTAAATTAACTGATCAGAAACCAACTGAATGAAAAGAAAAATGTGAGCTGGTGCAAATTACTGCAATTTGATGGTTTGATCTGGACTGGACTTTACTTATGGATGCAGATGCTCAAAATTGTAATCAGAACAGAAGACAAAGTACTCATTTAATAGGAATGGGCAATTTAGAAATTGGCTGTGGAAAATGGGAGGAAATAAGGGCATAAAGTGACTGGCTTGTACACTTTCATGGGTCTGCTTACTCAAACTGAGGGGAACAAAGGAGAATTACCATAAAATAGTTTCCTCTTTTCCTAACGGGCCTGAGGAAGAGAGGGTTGGGGAAGATGCTGGTACAATTATATGATTCATTTGTGAGTGTTAAATGTTAACAAGGTTAACTGTGATTGTAAAAACTATAATTGTAAAAGTAGTTGTTTTGTTATTGTTGTTGTTAAGTGCCGTAGAGTCGGTTCCCACCCATAGCGACCCTGTATAGAGTTTCTGAGGAGCAGCTGGTAAGCTTGAACCACCAACTTTTCAGTTCAAATGGCTTTGCAGTCTGGTACATTAACCCACAGTGTCAAGAGAGGACAATGAGCCCCATCCAGACAGAACCTTCTGAGGTGGGACATTCCCAATGGAAAGGACATGCAGATCAGTCTGGAGGGGCTAGAGGAACAGAAAAATCAAAAACAAAAACAGCAGTGAGATTGGCTGCTACAGCAACAAGCAATTTGTTCGCCAGGGAGCCATCAAGGCAAGCAGTCAAGTCCCTTCAGGCAACCCCCAATCCAAGACTGAAACTCAAAAGGAACACAGAAAGCATGTAAGTTTGCTGGCAATCACCTTGGTCTAGTGGTGAGTGGAAATGGGGGCAAGGCAGCAATGAAGATACGGGATGAGTTCAACTATGTTCCATAGATTCCTGTCAACTTGGAGATGAGAGAGAGAAGAGGAAGGGCTGATTGGTCCAAAGTGTGGTGAGACCCGGAGACTCCTAAGCCCACAGACAAGTACCTAGCCATGGAGATCTAGAGCTGAGAGTGAAGCATCCAGCTGATATGAAGTGAGGGGAGATGCACAAGAATGCTCAAACTTGCAGATAGTACCCATTTGACCTAGTTTTGATGGCTTGATAATCAGAACTCAACTAGAGGAAGATAGAGAAATTTGATAAAGGAAACAAGTGTAAAATGCTACAATTTGATGAACTCGATTGACCTATACTTATGGATGTAGTAGCTCAAAATATCAACTGAGAGGGAAGGAGTCTTCATATCACGGATCAAACCTATCCTCTGTGCATACAGGGTTGATAAGGACTGGCAACTTAGACATTGGCTACCTAAAATGCGAGAGCTATAAAGATATGAAGTGGCTGGCTTACAAGTTTTCAAGAGGGAGTTTAGTTTCAGAGTGTGTAGGAGAAGGTACAATCCCCACTGAAAAGTTTTCAACTTGTCTAGATGAGTCTGGTGAAAGGAGATGGTGAGAAGATTCTTATGATTCAATAGCAAGTAATTGTTATCATGACTAATTGTGATTGACACAACTGTAAACATAGAAGTTTTGTTACAAAAATGGGGGAGTATTTAATCCAACATTCCAGGAACAAAGGACCCTAAGACCATCAAGGGAGAAGAGCATGAGCAGAATGTGGAACCCTGTCCAGAGAAGCAGCACCAGAGATGGAGGCAAAGATAGAGTAGTTGAGGACTCTAGACTCATGGAAAGAGAAAAGCTGTGTGCTGGCATCCAGGAGGCAGGCTTGCAGAATGTTCCCTTTGGTTGTTTAAATTATTACATGTTCCTGGGTGTTTTTGTATACAACAAAAAAAGAGAGAATAGAAGCAAATACTGTTGAATGGTGTTGCATGGAGAGGATTGCAATCATTGCAATGAAACAAAATACAGTAGGATAAATGTAAAACCGGTGTTCTCCCATGTAAATTATCACTCAATTCACAATGAAAGCTTATTTTATAGAAACAGAGAGGACTAATGAGTAATAATCTTCTCTCCTTCAAATTTTATCAGAGGCTAGAAAGGGTGAAGCTCAGATGACTTTTGGAGAACCTGGCCAGATGAGCAGAATTCTTCCAGAATTCCTGAATGACTAGTATCTGACTACCTCATCCTGAGGACTCTGCCCTACTGAATAATTCATTGTTAATGCCTGTTTTAGATGGGTAAAATGATTTGGAGGGGACAGTTAATCCTTCAAGTATGAAAGGGTCAATGACTAGAAGAGGCAGGGAATTGTTTAATATAGCCCTTCTAGCTATAGTCTTTGTAACTTCCATCAAATGACTAGATAAGACTATGTAACTATGAGGTGCTTGTGGCCCACAAAGAAAATTGGATAGCTTGCAAATAATTTAAATATGGTAGGACCTCGCAAGCAACAGTATACAGATCCCTAGTGTGGAGATAGGTCAGTTTTGTCATCTTACTAGTCTTAAAAGGAGCCATCCCAGAGGTGGCAAGGGGGACCTCATGACCAAGAAAGAAGAACCAGGTTGGACCTGGGGTCACTGTGCTGGGAAACTCCTCAACCCAGGAGACAGAAAGAGAAAGAAGAGGCTATTATGATTAAAGAACTGTATCCTGAGTCATTTCTGGTTCTGAATTATAACCTACTTCTTCCCTAATAAATTCCATAATCATGAAAAATAAAAAAACTAATGTTTAGATATCACAGAACCATAAACACAGAACCATAGATTTCACAGAGCCATAAACCATAGAATGTCATGGCTATTTGAGTACTTGCCTAGGGCACAAATCTGTGAGAAGCACTAAAACATCACTGGGTATGTATCAAGATGGAAAGAAAGGTACCTGCCAGAAACTGCTCTTGATTAGAAGAGATATTTTGATAAACTAATTGGACAGAGGGGTTGATGAGATTTAATAACAACAGACGATCAAAAACTAACTTTTAAGATCTAGTTAATAGTGAGATTTTATTCCACTAAATGAGGTATGCCAAATTCAGCCTACTTGTTTCC